GTGGCTTCAGGCCAGAGACCCCACCCTTCTCTCCATCACCTCTCACTGTTCTACTGAGTCTGCATTTCTACCCAAGTGTGGCAATGCATCTCTAGTTTTACGCAGATAACATTGTTAGTGCCAGAAGGAGATTAGGGAAATTGAAGATAAGAGGTAATAACTGACCTACAGCTTCAGAGGGCTGGGGTAGGGTCACTGCTCTCTGCAATGTCTGTCACAGTTGGGTTGGTGCTCATGCTGGCTGGAAGGGATGGAGGGAAAGACAGTGAACTCCAAATTCAAATTTTCCTCTATTATGCATCTTTATTTATATTAAGTGGATGGGTTTTAGCAGAATATGTAATACTTCACTACACTGCTAGATACCTGGTATTCAGAAATTAAAATGATGCATAAGTGTTTGATCTTGTGATTGTTTTACTGTATCTGAACAGAGATAAAGCAACACAAAGCTGTAAGTTTTGCATGTGCATATGTAATAAAGTTAATTTTTTAAGCTCTGTCAATTCTGAAGCAAGATTCACTASGTCACAGAGTTGGGAAAACACAACAGCTTACATAAGCTGTTCTTCACACGTGCCTCTCTCAGCGAGGCTGTGATATTGTTTAACAACACAGACGTCTGCGATGTCTTGTTGCCCTCTAGTGATGCCACTTGATTTCTCCACTGCTTACTTTAAAAATCTCTGCAGAGCTSAGAGCTGTCTGCCTCCTGCCTTCAACAAACAAATCATAACTTAATACTCGGTGCTTGAAATCAATGGGAAAGCGTGGGTATTCCTGAATCCTCATAAGGAATAAGGAACCTGAGAGCAAGCTGACAGGAAAAATGTCACCAGCATAGCTGGCTTAGCCCAGTGAGATTAAAGGGAGAGGTAAAATGTGGCAGCCACTGTCACTATAGAGTGTAAAGGTGCCCAGAGCCTTCCCCTAAGCACAAATCATCCTACAGGGCAGGGCTGCTGCTCTTGAAGGGCTCCTGGAAGCACTCACAGTTGCTGYTTTCCTTCCCTGTATGACAAAACACCACTGACAGAGGGAACAGTCAACTACCTATCCCAGACTGCACATTTGCACTATTAGTCGTCACTTTTGTGGTGAAGTGTTAGATTATCTTAACATTAACTGATCTTTTTGAGGCCATTGAGGTGTCTGCTTTTCTAGCTAAGGTCATCTTCATGTCAATCATACACAAAACCCTAACTAGGTTATGAAAGAGGAACACAGCTTAATTTCCTTTTATTACAAGTTTTACAAATGGCTCTATTACTGGTTTATACTTATTCCATTATTTTTAATGTGGTCTCCATAGTATTTAACATTTAAATTCCAACTCAAAACACAATAATGGAAAGAAAAATGTGAATCCAGCAGCTGTCACTCAAAAACCTGTCTGCGAGGTGCACTCCTCTGTCCCCCCTTTTATTGTTTCTCTTTCCTGTAACTTCCTGGTCTTATTAAAAAAACCCAAAACATGGCTATTTCAAGAGTTTCCTGAAGAATAAAACCGAAATGAACATAGAAGGTGACCTATTCTTTCTGAAAGCAGAGCAATGAGATAGAACAGTAAGGCAACTCCAAAAATTCAGGCTTTGTTTTTGTCCTCACTCCAAAGGTAGTAATAACTAACACAGTAAGGCATAAAATTACTAGTGGAAATGTAGGAAATTTTTTAAAGGGAGAATCTTCAACTGTTAATGCCCAAATTTATTTTTTCACAATGTCTTGGGGTTTTTTTGCTTTGAAAGTCAAAACTTTAACAAGGCTATCAAGGGTAAGGTGGGTAAGTGGACTATGCTAATGTGGTATTTTTTTAAGGGGTAAGAAGAGRAAAGGAATTGAGTAATGGCTGAGAAGAAAGTGGTTGTCAGATTGTCAGCTGAAAATCTTCCCAAGCTGAACTACCCAGCCAGTTTGAGAAGCAGCAAGGAATACATTCAGCATCTGCCTTTCTGATTTGCAAGCCCAGTTGTCTTATGCTGAGCAACCATTCTCTTGAAATTAAGCTTCTTAAGTTTTGCCAGCAAAAGTAGAGAGGTTCTGCAGTCAGCTGATGCTGCTGTTCTTTCTCCTGAAAAAAGCTGAGCTTTAAAAACTTTCCCTCCATCAAAATCAGGACTTAAAAAAACCCTCTCCTTTTATTAGGCAGAACACTTTGTTATTTTCTATCTTATAGAAACCCAGGATTAGCATACCAGCAGAATATGTTATGTGTGTTGACACCAGATTAAGCAGGAGTTATAGGCCCAGTATATTTAATAATCTGAGAACTGCTTGGAACAAGCAGGGAAAGGCAATGCAACCATGACTACAGGTTGAATTTTTTCTTCTTTTCCTTGCCTGTATCACTCTCAAACTACTGCCTCTTGCTAAAGGACAGATGTGACAAACTTTCACATTTCTTGTTTCCATCTGGATAGTTGTTTCCCCTGAAATTATTTTAATCAATTTTTCTGTGCATTTATTTTTCTTATGAACTTA